AGTTAATAAGGCCCCAAATGGACTCTTAGGCCAGAGTTAAGAGGCGTCCATGGGTCAGATATTTAGTTTCAGCAATAGCTCTGTAGTAGCCTAACAGTTGTCCACCTTTTTAAAAGATGTACTTGGCACCTGAAAAGTATACTATCATACTGGGAAATGGCCTGAGTACTCCAGCTGTCACCAAGTTTTCCACTAAAACTGTGGTTTTCATTTCTTTCCTCTTAGGAGTCTGTACTACCCAAGAGGAGACAGGGGTTACTTCCCTCTATGGAGCGGTAGTCCTAGAATGGGGGACTCAAGAGCATTCACAGTTCAGTCAAACGTACACTTGATCTCAGTAACACTTTGATGCAAAATTGATAAAATGTTAGTACGTTGAATCTGTTTAGAGGCTCCCCCTACAGCACATTTTAATTTTCCCTTCCCACTGCAAACTGTGTCCAAACCTGTCAGCGGATGCGTGCTAAGTCACTTCAGTCATGTCTGACTCTTTGCAACCCTATGACTCTAGCCCACTTGGTTCTTCTGTCCATGGAATTTTCCAGGCAAGAATACTGGAGTGAGTTGTCATTCCCTCCTCCAGATGATCTTCCCGACCCAAGAATTGAACCTCCGTCTCTTTCATCTCCTGCATTGGCTGGCAGGTTCTTTGCCACTAGCACCATCTGTGAAGTCCCAAACCTCACCAGTTGAATTCTGGTACTTCCCTCCCATCACAGGAACCCAAACCATGTAGTTTAAAATAGGTATGTTACAGGTCACAGCCAACCAAGAGACTATGCTTTCTCCCAGCCAGGAGCATGGGAGAGGCTAACCTACAGTGTTCAAATGGGTCAGTGACAAGGCCTTTTCTCCTGACTCCTGCTCCGTGGTCCGTGCCGCCTCTCCCCTTGTCTACCTCTTGGCACCAACAAGCATCTGCAGTTCAGGGACTGCCGGTTTGGTTGTGTGCCCCACTGCGCATCACTGTGGATCTCCCCCCCAGTTTATTGGCATTTCTGATCATTTTGCACCCAGGGCTCCCTGTTCCCATGGAGCGAAGTTGGATGGTGACTTAGATATTTATATTCAACAGAGCTATAAAAAGGGAATCCTTCTCCTCCTCAAAGACCCCCCAGCATACACAAAGTCTTTCCTTAAGGCAAGAAGAGGGAGTGAGAGGGATTGGGTCATGAAAGTACTTTTGCTTCAGTGGTTACCTGCCTGGACTCAACAAACTCTTAGTACTGAGTATTTTTGGTCCACTTAGAAAGCTTTATATCCTTATTTCTGACACTACTTATTTCAGCTTTGCGGAAGCCAGTACTCATCAGTCAGCCATACTGCCTTCAACTGGAGCCACAGACTTGCTTGCCTCATCGTCAAACCATCCTCTCATTCTCCTGCTCTGAGAATTGAGCTACAACCAGTCAGACAGTATATTTCAATCTCACCTCTTGTTGCTTAGCCTCAAAACATTCATAACATGTAAGACAACTAGAGGCCATTACTCCCCTCCTCACACAGCAGCAGTTGGTACCAGGCCCCAGGTTATCCTCTCCTATCACCTGGCCCATGACCTTCCTCTTCTGGAAAGCCCTGTCTGTCAGGAACCCATCCTTGTTACGAAACTATCAACAGTAGCCCATGAAGGGTTTTAAATTTTATTCTCCTTGCAAACAAGTTAACCTACATTTTTCATGAAGGCTGGCAGATGACACGAGACTTCTGGATCAGAGACAAAGAACTTTATTACTTATAATGCAGCAAACAGCAATGAGTAGGTTTGTGCTAGTTCCCCATTCCCCTTCCCCCACAAAACTGACACAGGTAGGCCTAGATGGGTGGCCTACATGTGCAGTAGGTTGTGTCATGAAATCCTCCTGCTCAGAGGAAAGTGAGCACCAACCAGCACACCTTCTGAGCAACTGTCTTTAAACCTACTTCCCAGTACTAGGAGCCTACAACCACCTCCCCAGTCTTCATTAGCAGGCAATAGTATATTCAAAACATTCTAAGAAGGGGGCCACAGAGAATACCAGACTGTCATAAAAGTTCCATGGCATTAAAAAAAAAGGTTAATTCTTGAAGTATCTGTGGACAGGAGAGGAGTCACCTGAGCAAACGTGCTTTCAGGCTGGATTGTTAAGTAATAACATGAGAGGCTGTCTGTGGGGACAGGGCACATTTTATAAAAAACATTGTGATATTATTAACAGAGCCTCTCTGGTAGCTCAGCTGGCAAAGCCACCTGCAATACAGAAGAACCAGGTTCAATTCCTGGGTCAGGAAGACCTGCTGGAAAAAGGATAGGCTACCCACTCCAGTATTCCTGGGCTTCCCTGGTGGCTTAGCTGGTAAAGAATCTGCCTGCAATGTGGGAGACCTGGGTTTGTTCCCTGGGTTGGGAAGATTCCCTGGAGAAGGGAACTGCTACTCACTCCACTATTTTGGCCTGGAGAATTCCATGGACTGTAATAGTCTATGGGGTCGCAAGAGTCGGACACAACACTCACGGAAAGTGAGTGACTTTCACTTTTCATTATTAGTAGAAGCGTCCCCAGATATTATAACTTTCATCAGGGGGATGAGGTTTAGGTCAAGGGAAGTCAGGGGTGGTGATAAGAGAGTTGGTGTTAGAAAGCTCTAAATTGAGTAGGAACTTGGACCCAGAGAAAAATATAACTGTGGGTAGTACAAGGAACTTTCATGGCTGTTCTGAAGCAAAAAGATTGTTTCTAAAAATATATGAAGCACCAATTGTCAAATACATGTTAGCAGCTCAAATTTGCAAATAATGAAAAACACAGCTGTCTCCCCACTCTCCTTAGCAGTCTTATCCTAGAATACCACAACTGGGTAGATGATGGGTAGGGGTGCATGCAGGATGCATGGCTAGGCTGCTAACCCATTTCTTTATTTATTAAATCAATACTGCCTCAACTGGTTACTGGACTCAGGGGAACACCTTAAGACATCCACACAGCCTAAGAAATCTCAAAGTAGGGATTTAAGGGATAATAGCATTCATATTCTTTGAAATAAAAAATGTTTTATATATAGCCATCTCTAGGCAGTAAGGAATCTTCATAATCTCAAAGGGTACCCTGTCTGAAAGCTCTTTTAAAAGGTTCTTTTAGTCCTAGAGAATAAATGAGATTTGCCCAAGGCCACAAATTAAAATACAGCTGAAAACCCAGGTCTCTTGTCTATCACTCAAGGATATCTCTTTTTCTCCCCTTCTCCCAAATTGACTTCTCCCATGGGATAATGAAAAACCAGAAGAAAATAAACTTACCAATTAATAAGGAAATATCACAGTTAAATCAAAAGCATTTCTACCATGGAATATTATGCAACTATTAAAAATGCATTTGACCTATGTATACTGACAGGGAAAGTACTTAAGAAATACCAAGTTTAAAAAAAAACACAATGTAATTCAATTTTTGTAAAAAAAAAATAAAATAAAATACATGTTCATATATGTAAAGAAAATGGTACAGCTGGTATGAAAGAATTCCAAGGAATTGTCATGGAGAGGGTTATTCCTTGTTTAACAGTAACTCGTTCATTATAAAAATATGATCATCTGATTACACTTCTAAAAGCTTCAAGTGGCTGACAGAACAGAATTACCACTTGGGGGGTGGGGAGAAGAAACTAGGAGAGAACTACAAGGCCTACCCAAGGTTCATGGAAATACAGAATCCAAGACTTCAACTTCCTATCTAGTGATACCCACAATCTTCTACTGTGTGATGCTAAATAGGGCAACATTCCCAAGTCAAAGAGGAAGATGTGATAACTGGGGTTTCTTATAAACCGATTACAGTATTAGGTACTGGGCTCAGCAGGAACTGTACTTACAAGGTGAGCACAATATTCCTATAGGTCACAGGATGTGGGCAACTCCCAGTTCTTCTCTAACCCTAGTGGGAAAATACTAGAAACGATGCTGCTCACAACTCTGGAGCCAGACACAATAGGTTTAAATCCCAACTCTATTGTTAGCTGTGTGGACACAAATTAACCAATTTTTGTGTCTCAGTTTCCTCACCTATAAAATGGGGATAATAACAGTATCTACTTTCTTAGAGCAGCTGGGAGCACCAGTGAGTTAATACACATAAAGAACTTGGAATACTACCCAGCACAAAGTAAGTACTGAGTGTCATTACTGTCATCACTGGAAAGTGAGCAGTTCTCACCTACAGGTTCTCAGGGGCCTCTGACTAAACAGAAACAAAGGAAACCTATAGTAGTAACACCATCAACATGTACTGCTCTGTTCCTTCCATCAAGACTATGACTCCATTTTCAGATCTTCTTTCCTTTTATTGAAAAAAATTTTAGAAAATGGCAGTTAATAAAGGGCACAAACAAATCAACAGGGATATACTAGTGGAAAATATAGACAACATAAAACTTACATTGGCTTCTTTAATTGGTTAAAAGCACAAAACATAACAGGCAGAAAGTTTCTCTTAAACAAATTAAAAAGCTATGTTTTTCCCCCCAATTCTCCCCAAGTCAGATATATACACACCCACAAAAATGGTGTGTGAAGGGAAACTGTCATACACAAGAAGTTGTATGAATTAAGGGAAATTAAGGGAAACAGCAGTTGAAACAGGAATTAACATAAAAAGGTCAGCAACAGGTTAACAATTTTAAAAACTGAGTCTTCAAATGTGGTATGGCACAAAGCTATACTATATAAAGTACTGCTAGGTATGAAGGAGGAAGTCTGTACGGCTTTTAGCAAAAATGCTTTTCCAGAAAAGCAAATCAAAACAATGCAATCAGCAGACCAAAGAGGCTATAGCTAGATATCAGAGCTACAACTTCTCATATCTGAGCTAGAAGTTTCTATTTATCCAGAATGCACTAAAATTTCAAGACAAAACAGGGACATTTTTAACATTTCTTACTTTATCCATATTAAGTTCTCTGTTTCTTTCTCCCTCACCCCTAAATTCGGCAAGATCCAGCCAAAAGATGGCAGCTTTTACAAGCAGCTATTTCATTTTTCTTTCTGTGGCAAGACTGTCATGGAGTCTAGATATCTCAGGCTCATATGCGTCCATGACCAGAGTCCCGCTGTGGTCAAAAAACTTAGCAATGGACTTGGTGAACTCAGCTTCCCGTTGCTGCTTCGTTCTTCCACTGATGAAGGTCAGTTTCAGAGTGTATTTATCATCAAACCTAAGCAAAGATGACAAACCAAAAACCAAACACAGACATTCAGTCAGTAACAACAGAGCACCAAGAGTTTTTGAAGAATAGCTACTGGTGATAGGGAACATACAGCATTATCCTTTCCAAAAAAAAAAAAATCAGGGGACCTTCAGGATAAAAAATCTGATTTGTAGGTGCTGCTATGACCCCCCTGATTTAAGTATTATGTGCCTCCTTTACCTTGTCATACACTGCTAAATCACATGGACTATCTTCTCTCACTTCTGCCCTTTACTTTGCTGCTATGGTAGAAGGATATTGCCAGCAGACACTACTCTCCAGTCTTACCTGATTAGGTTCCATTTGTTAATACTATACTGGGCATAAACTTTTCTGGGAAAACCTTCCCAAACTGAGTTAGATGTCTTGCCTTTGTCATACATACACCATCCATCAGTCAACCCAAATACTGAGTGCCCATCATCTGCTAGGTCTAATGATAGACTCCTGTGCTGTCAATTAAATTATCTATTGAAATGATAATCACGTATTTGTGTTCTTTACTAGTTTTAGGGATTTTTGAGGGGAAAGATTTTGTCCTGTTTTCTATTCTTAGCTTGGCATTTAATAGGTAATCAAATCACAATGAATAAATGAAGAACCCTTGCTTTCATAGATGTTCCCCAATTCCACGCTGCTGGGTCCTTGCTCCCTGTAATCAACCTAGCCTCAGGTTCTGTCCTGATCCCAGGCCAGCAGTATCTTTTACTCCATGAATTCCAGAGATCCCGTTTAGGTACACCTTAAGGTATCTTGAAGGCCTTTACTATCTCCATTCATTCAAGACGGTTTATGACATCAACCCCTGGCAGGCCAATGTTCCTCTCCCACCATCCCTACCTGTTTCTGTCTCCATTTAATTAGGGCATATTCAGTGGATTATCAGGTTGATATTACCTTTAGACGAAGCAGATGCTTGAGCCTCAGATATTTCCCTGCATGTTTAAAAGAGGGAAAGTCCCACCCACTTTATAGGATCACAGTGCCTATCATTATCCAGTGCTCAAAAAAAAAAAATCACAGCTCGATAAATTGTTGTGTAGCCAGTTACTTTCAACCTGGATAGACAGGAGTAAAGGTACTTGAAAACTTTCAACACCTCAAAAAATTTTTTCAAGCTCTGCTCAACTGCTTCCAACTGATATCACAGTGATTTTTGGACTTTTGAGCCCAGTTCCATGGCTAAATGGCAGGACACAATCTAATTTATTTTAAAAAATAGTTACTCATTAATTCAACAAATATTTACTCAGGACCAACCACTATTCAGGACTAGGCAGTATTGGATGCTAAGGATATACATCAATGAATACAACAGACAAATCTCTGTCTTTTGAGACTTTTAGCGTGTGTGAGGGAATCAACAATAAAATAAAAATTATAATGTTCTTTTAAATATGGAAAGTCGCCACGAAGCAGATGTTTGAGTATAGCCTAAAAGAAGGTGAGAGAACAAGCTATCTGGAAAAAGTATATTCCAGGCAGGACAGAGTAAATGCAAAGACCCTGAGGCAAGCACATGCCCAGAATGTCTGAACAACAGAAAGGAGGTCAATGCAAACAGAATGGAGAGGGAGAAGATGAGAATCACAGGCTATGGTGTGTCTGCAAATGTGTGGAGGGTGCAGCTACATAAGTATGGACTTCTAAGCTACGCTTAGGATTTTAGCTTTTCTCTGCGTGAGAGGATTTTGAGATAAGGGTTGAGCTGATCTGCCTTATGTTTTAAAAGGATCATTCTGCACACTGTATTGGAAATAGACTATGGGCAGAGAGAGCAGCTGCAGAGGTCCTTTAGGACATTATTACAGTAACCTAATTGAGAGATGATGGCCACGGTGGAGATATTAAGTGGTCAGAATGAATATAATTAGAAAGTAGAGCTGACAGAATTTGCTGACAACCTATTCAAAGGACTAAGAGACAGAGGAGACAAAACGACTCCAGAGTTCTGATCTGAGTATCTAGAAGGATGGAGCTGCCCTTTACTGAGATGAGGAAAATGAGGAAAAGCAGGTTTAGATGAGGGATAGCAGAATTAGGTTTTGGATATGTTAATTCTGAGATGCTTAGTAGGATCCAATGTCAAATAGAAAGCTGCGACATAACTGGAGTTTGGAAAAGAGGTCTAGGATGAAAACACAGATTCAGAAATCTTCATTATTACAAATGGTATTTAAAGTCCTGAAAGTCTGACTAGGAATACACCTAGTGAGTGAATACAGACAGAGAAGAGATGCTAAGAATAGGCACTAGTGGCATTTCAAATTTAGAGAAAGGGGATAAGGAATCACATAGGACACTAAGGAACAGACACACAAAGATAAGAATTATAAGACTATGGTATCCTAAAACAGTGTGGAGATTTCTTAAAAAGCTGGAAATAGAACTGCCATATGACCCAGCAATCCCACTTCTGGGCATACACACCGAGGAAACCAGATCTGAAAGAGACACATGTACCCCAATGTTCATCGCAGCACTGTTTATAATAGCCAGGACATGGAAGCAACCTAGATGCCCATCAGCAGACGAATGGATGAGGAAGCTGTGGTACATATACACCATGGAATATTACTCAGCCATTAAAAAGAATTCATTTGAATCAGTTCTAATGAGATGGATGAAACTGGAGCCCATTATACAGAGTGAAGTAAGCCAGAAAGATAAAGACCATTACAGTATACTAACACATATATATGGAATTTAGAAAGATGGTAACGATAACCCTATGTGCAAAACAGAAAAAGAGACTCCTATGTATAGAACAGACTTGTGGACTCTGGGAGAAGGCGAGGGTGGGATGTTTCAAGAGAACAGCATTGAAACACATATATTATCTAGGGTGAAACAGTTCACCAGCCCAGGTTGGGTGCATGAGACAAGTGCTCGGGCCTGGTGCACTGGGAAGACCCAGAGGGATTGGGTGGAGAGGGAGGTGGGAGGGGGGACCGGGATGGGGAATACATGTAAAAAAAAAAAAGATACACTATGGTTGTGATAAAAAAAAAAAAAAAAAAAAAAGACTATGGTATCCTAGAAGTCTAGTTTTTAAAAAAAGTATAACAAGGAGAGAATTATTCACTGTGTCAAATGTGACAGGTCAAATAGGATGAGGAAAGAGAACTGAAGAAAAGCAAATCCAAGAGATGATGGGAGAAGACAACAAAAGGAAAAGAAAAATGAGAAGACCACGTGAGGAGGATAAGGGAGAAGAAAAACAACTTTTTCAGTTGGGACAAATTACAACTTATTTGTATGCCAGGAAAAAATGACCCAGCAGAGAGAGAGGGAAACACCAAGTAATCAAGAAGGGACAGAATCAAGTGGATGAATGGAGTGGAGGCTTCGGATAGGAACTGAGGAAGAAGGCAGAGTGTAATGAGTGCTACCAAGTGGATAAAGATGGGAGACTTGCGGCTGCTGCTCTCTCCCCAGAAACAAAAGAAGCTGAGAGTGAAGTGGGGGAGGAGAGCAAGAGGTTTGAGAACAGAGAAGGTAGGAAAGATCCTCAAGGACAGTGAGAGAGTAACTGGAATATAGAAATGCCATGGAAGCTAAGTTAGGTAAGGAGCAAGTGAGACAATGAAGAGAAGAGGGCCAGGGAAAAAGATAGTGGGCTCAAGGATTAGGGATGCCACTGGGGCTGAAGAACTGTTGGGGCAAGAGAACAAGAAGGAGACAAACTAGAAAAATATAAAGCAATGGTCAGAGAGTGAGATATTTAAAAAATGAAATTAGTTATCAATAATACCAAGATCTAGGGTGTGTCTCACAGAAAGTATTTAAGACACTGCAGAAAACAAGATAATCAGAGGAGAGAAAGTAAAACTAAGAGGCCAGCATCTTGGAACAATCATCTACTGGGATACTGAAATGATTAAGCCTTCTGAAAGGAGCTATGTTAAAGAGAGTGCCAATGAACCAGGAGCCATCTCCAAGCAAAGAGAAGTGAGTCTGTATTTAACTACAAGGAGAATGAACAGAGATGGCATATTTCCTCTCCACAGGCACCAACAATGTGGCAGTTGATAAAAGTCAGCAGTGAATGTGGAAAAAAAAAAATCAGAACCCTTATATACTGCTAGTGAGACTAGCAGTATAATGTAAAATGGTGCAGCTGTTTTGGAAAAGAGTCTGGCAATTCCTCAAACAAAGACTTAACCATATGATCCAGCAATTCTTCTCCTAGGTACATGAGAAATTAAAATGTTTATCCACACAAAAACTTATACATAAATGCTTATAACAACATTATTCTTAACAGCCAAAAAGTGGAAACAACTAAAATGGCCCTCAACTAGTAAATGGATTAAGAAAAATGTAGTATATCCATGCAATGAAATATTATTTGGCACAAAAAGGAATAAAATATTGATATGTTTGAACCTTGAAAATATTATGCTAAGTGAAGGAAGCCAGCTACGAAAGATCATATATTGTGTGATTCCATCTGTATGAAATATTCAAAAGAGGGAAATATATAGAGACAGAGAGCAGATTAGTGGTTACTTAAGGTTTGGGAGAATGAGGGGATAGGGAAATGACTTATCTATAGGATACAGAGTTTCTTTTGGTAAGGATAAAAATGTTTTAAAGTTAACTGTGGTGATGATTGCAAACATTTTTAAAAACATAAGAAACCATTGAACAACTTTAAATAGGTGCACTATGGTGTGGAAACTGTATTTCAAAAAGGCTGGTAAAAAAATATTTAAGTCAGAATATATATAATGAAATCAGGATGTTGCCTGGGTCTAGAATTCTGCAATTCTGCTTTAGTGCTCTGATACAGAGTATAGATTTATGACAGCTGAGACCAAAATGGCAGCTATGAGTCCTGCCAGGAGATAAGAACTACGGTGCAACATCAGAATGAAGCCCAGCTCCTCCTCACAGGCATCTCCACAAGCTGGTAATGAGAGGCTGTATGGCACTGATGCTACACTTACCTTCATATACGTGAGTAACTGGAGAGCCTACTACGTGCTAGGAACACTACCATGTGTTTTTAGGATAGTGACGGAGAGCATGAGTTCAGCCATGGGCTAAATTCACTTCTGGGCTCTATAACCATGGAAAAATTAATTAAACCCTTTGAGCCTGTGTTCTTATCTTTAAAATGGGTTGTTCTAAGGTTTAAATGAGACAATGCGGTTGGCACAATACTCAGTATATAGTAAATGCTCAGTATATACTTGCTATTCATAATGCTTGGTGTACAGCTGAACAATAAGGGGGCAGTGTTAAGGTTGCTGACCCTCCGTGCAGTTGAAAATCCACATATAACTTATAGTTACTCCTCCATATAGAAGGTTCCTCTGTATCCACAGTTCCAAATCTGTGGATTCAACCAATAGATCATGCAGTACTTCAGTATTTACTACTGAAAGGAAAAATTCCATATGTAAGTGGATCCATGCAGTTCAAACTCCTGTTGTTCAAAAGTCAACTATATATACCAGTTGGCGGCCTCACAACAACTCTACAAGTCATTTTTACCCTACTAAAGCTCAACCAGTTTACCCAATACACCAAAAGTCACACAGCTAGAGATGAGCTGGAATTTGAACACAGTTCTGGATACTTAGAAGACCTGAGATGTCAGCTGCACAAAGTTACACTTATCATTGGTCAGAAACAGACTGAATTGTGCTTCTCTGAGTTGCCCAGTGCATTGCTTCAGAGATTTCTGATTGCACAGACTGCAGTCAGGATGACAGAAGACACAGAAGCTAAGGTGGTTCTTCAAAGACAACTGACTTCATACCTCTGGCCTTTATAGTTTTATATATATAGTTTATAGTTCTGCTCTCTAATTGGCTCCGTTTATTGGCCACAAGGAAACAGAACTGTTCTTCATTCTTCCACCAAAGTTACTTTCTCCCACAATTTATCCTCAGAGCACTTCTGTGACAATACAATCTCAGAAGTGCAACAGGAAAAATCTTCTAGTTCATTCATAATCCTTTCTTCACTTTATATGACTAGCACTCTAATCTGCAAAGAGTAGACATATAATAGTCTGTTGATAATGACTAAACACGCAGAGAAAACCCAACCTCAGGATTTAGGAATCTGTGAGGATAGTAATACCTTTTGAGACTGGACGACAGTTGCCAGATATCATCAGGATCCATGCCTGTAGGATCTTTCCTGTGGGCCACGAGAAAAATGCTCTTCTCCTTATACGAAGTATAAATGGTCAGGATTCCCATCATCACAAAATAGGTGCAGATAAAGTTAAGGGGAAAATACACAACATACACACAAAAGAGAAATAACACAAACTGACAAGCAAGGGCTACAAAAACTTCCATAATAGTCCTAAAGAACACAGTTTTTTCTTGCTGTAAAAATACAGAAATTGTAATTACTTTGTATTCATCCTTATGTTTATTGCAAGAGAAGCAAGGATCTCTCTGGTCAGTTCTGCAAAGACCATCTCAGGAAGAAAGGAAAAAGGTAGAGGGTATAAAGCAGCTCTCTCTCTTAGGTTCAAGGACAACATATATAAGAAGATCCTCTATTACCCATTTTGTCAAGACTGGTGTTTATTTCTCCATATGATAAAAAACAAATAACCACAGTGGACTTGACCACACAACCAATTTCAAGGGTGATTAAAAGAAAGGGAAACTGACTTTAAAGCAGTTTACTAAAGAGTCTCATGCTCCACTAAGTAAGCCAGCTGGGTGATTACAACAGTTTAGCTTACTATAAGAACAATTACTTCATACATACATATAGGCTTATTATTAAACTCATTTTTTGATAGTACTAGCTACGATATTTGGGTTCCTGTGTGCCAAAAACTGGCATAAGAACTCTGTGTACATATATCATTTAAATAGTGCAAAGTGAATGAGCTTTGGAGTAAAGCAGTCCTAAATTTGAATTCTAGTTTTTAACCAATGTAATCTCGACAAATTACTCCTTACTCCAAGGCTCAACAGTGTTGCCTCTAAAATGGCAATTAAACAGACTTTTTAGAATTGTCATTAGATTTAGTGATGCTATATATACATTTTAGAGTATAGCACACAGAAGACATTTATAATGGTACTCATTACTATTATGTATAAAAATGGTATGATTATAAAAATGGCAAGATCCTGTTTTGTTTTAAACAAGTATAACCAAACAAAAGAAATTCCATTAAGGCAGTTTCTTGGGAGGCCATATAATTATAATAAGGTTGCTGTCATTGTTCAAACGTCTTTGGAACTCCTTTGGGAACTGTCTCTAGAACCCATGGCATATTCTTTGAACTGCCTTAATTGTGAAAAAGTGCATAATGGGTTTGTTTGTGTGATATTGAAAGGAGTCAAGGTGCAAATTCTGGGACTATGATTTGAGATCAGTTTGTACACAGAGGATGAGATGGCTGGATGGCATCACCAACTCAATCGACATTAGTCTGAGCAAACTCCAGGAGATAGTGAAGGTCAGGGAAGCCTGGCTGTATGTTTTGCTACTAAGTGCTCACACTTAGATTATAACTTCTACATTAATAACAGAATTAAAAATAAAATAACCATATTGAATCTAAAATATCAATAATTATAACAAATTTACAGATGCTTACATTTCATAATGTTAAATCTTAACATTAGCAGGCCCCAAGGTGAAAGTTTGGGTTTTTTTGGTAGGAACTTACCTGGTGGCTCAGATGGTAAAGCATCTGCCTACAATGCGGGAGACCCAGGTTCAATCCCTGGGTTGGGAAGATCTCCTGGAGAAGGAAATGGCAACCCACTCTAGTATTCTTGCCTGAAAAATCCCATAGATGGAGGAGCCTAGTAAGCTACAGTCCATGGGGTCGCAAAGAGTCGGACACGACTCAGCGACTTCACTGTCACTTCACTTTCACTTTCAGAGAAGAATATCAGTAGAGATTTAAAAAAAAAACTGTCAGTAGAAAACAAACCTGAGCTTAAAGGATATGATATAACACACAAGGCCAGAACAGGTTTGGACTCTGGGAAGGGATGCATATAATCCCAAATCAAAGCCACAATGGCGAAGAAACAGGAGATGGTACAGATGATGAGGCGACCATCAATTAGACCAAAATTCTCCACATACTTGTACTTTTCCAGAAGTACCTAGTGAGAAGAACAAGGAACCAAGTTAGTAGGACTACTTCCCTCCTTGTACCTGCTTTTCTTCTTAATTTCCATGATGCTGCTAAGTCACTTCAGTCGTGTCCGACTCTGTGCAACCCCACAGACAGCAGCCCACCAGGCTCCCCCGTCCCTGGGATTCTCCAGGCAAGAATACTGGAGTGGGTTGCCATTTCCTTTTCTAATGCATGAAAATGAAAAGTGAAAGTGAAGTCGCTCAGTCGTGTCCGACTCTTAGCGACTCCATGGACCGCAGCCTACCAGGCTCCTCCATCCATGGGATTTTCTAGGCAAGAGTACTGGAGTGGGGAGCCATTGCCTTCTCTGTTTCCATGATGAAAGTTAAGTTAATCATTTAAATGACGAAATAGTTCTCTCCAATCAGGATTTTGCCACTCGGAGCAAAAAAAAAAAAAAAAGACTCAATGTGTTTACAAAAATCACAGAGAAAAAGCTCATCAACTTCTGACACATTTTTTTTAAATCCTTATCTTCTTCTTTAGACTGAAGCTAAAATTTTCTTTTCCCTTTTAAAATAGAGAGATGATCAATCATGCATGACCATCCTATATTCCCTCAACCCTCTTGCCTCTAGGCTAATTAATCTCAAAAACAACAGATTACTAGTTTTCTGGAATTCAAAAATTAAAGAATTTGAAGAGAAATTTGAGGTAAGTAATAATTATATTTTAACACATGTTCCCCTATATATACTGCAAGGTTCAGAAAATGCTTTCTGTCTCAATTCCTAATACTGAAAACTAAACTCATTCCAATGCACAGAAAGAAAAAGTCCTGCAAGAGATGTGCCATCAATTGTACACGAACTAACGGACACCGTCCCTCACCTCTGCCCCCAAGAAAGTACCTTTTTGGCAGAATCATCCAAAGAATTTTTCACAGCTGATCCATCCCATTTGTCAATTTTTACAGGCTTATCGTCAATCTTCCACTGTAAAACAAATGGATAAGTTGTGCATTAAGACATGGCATCTTACTAAAAGTACAGTGAACTACTTCCTTAAGAGCATCCTCAAGTATGCATAATATTTATTCTCTCTCCTGATGTTGGACAGCTAAACAACAAAACACTTGAAAATGAATTTGAAGGAAACTAGGTCACTACAATCAGGTGGTAATCATACAATGTAGCCAGTCTCCACCCTGAAAAGTCAACTCTACAAGGGCAGAACACTGACATGGGTTGTAAAGACTGTAGTGTGAACTCAAATATCCCATCTCCATTTTACCCAAATATGGGAACAGAGAGGAATTTCATCTGTTCGTCCTATCACTTTGCGACTACAAAACTCAGACAATATCCATCCACACACTAACAAAAGGATGGTCTTCTTTAATACATTTTTGTCTCCTGACATTTTACCAGCACATCTTAAGTGAGAAAACAGCAGATTCAGTGTAGTCTTTTGGAAAGAACATTTTGAATTAAAAACTGAGTCTTCTCACCAGTTAGGTACGTGACTTTGGACAAAAGCCTGCTTCAATTTCCCTCATCTGTAGAGGTTTATAAAGGTTCCCAAATACTGTGCTAATTAAAGGCAAATGATTCTCTCACACACACTGCTGGTAGAAGTTCAAAATGGTGTAACACCTACAGAAGATAACTTAGCATCTTGGATTCAACTTCCCACTTCTGGGAATTTTTCCTTATATGCACAGACATGAAATAATACACAAGGTTATTCACTGCAGCACATTTGCAGCTGTAAAAATATAACTCAAGAGCTCACTTACACCGGACTGGTTAAACAAACTATGGTACACCCAGGAAAAGGCTAAGGGACATGGGTGGGAATGAGACTTTTCAATGAGTACCTCTTTCACTGTTAACCATGTGAATAGATTCTGTAAATTTTTTTTTCCCAAATGTAAGTGATTATGTGAATGTAGGTTAAGTGAAACAGGGTACAGAAATAATCTGATAAACCTGCCTTTTTATAGATCATACGTCCAACTCAATTTTTTCAGAACAAGTGAACAAGTATCGTATGTCATAAAAATTACAAACCAGCAGACAATCCAAAATTCATTTGGCTTTAGTATAGATTTTACTGAAGGACAGAGAAGAAATCTTAATATTATTTAACTCTCTGATTGAGCACAAGTTCAGAGATACTATGGACGAGAAATAAAGAAATGGAATAAATATCTGTAAAACATGAGATTTTAAAGGAACACAAAAATATAATTCATCAAACTTAATTTTGTATTTCTACATGCTATTACACATAAAAGAAAAACTACTCTGTGAAGTCTGTTGGGAGAAAATACATGAGCTAAAACAGTCATACTTCAAGTGCTTAAAACTCAAATCAAGGCCTCTCCCCTTTGTGTCTCATACAAACAAGAATTTTCTTTGAGAAATTACTACTGGCAGCATGCTGTAATAAGATTCTCACAGCCTGCCAGCCTACAAATCAAACATGACACCTAATTTTAAAAACACAAATTGAAGCAAGAAGAAATTAACAGGATATCTAGCTAAATAGCTCACTTATACTTAGTTTAGTAAATCCCATTTTGGTAACAGTGAGCAAAAGAAAGAAACCTGTACAGCCAGAATCCATGACAGAATTTTAATTATTTATGAATGAAAGTCATTAGGTCTTTTTTGGCTCATTCCAAAAAATTGATGTTCTCATAGAAACTCAGCCACACGTCACTACTTGCAATGCATTATAGAAAAGAAACTTGCCTCTACAATTCAGAGGATAATTTCTTGGCAATTTGGGGGGATAAAATGCATAAGAAGCCATCACAATGTGTTCTAATATAGCCTCAGTTCTAATTCCACTGGTACCTAGAAGGATCTTCAATAAGTGGAACAAGAACGTTTCCAGTCAATTACATGACCAAGAAAATTTATAATTGATTTCTGAAGAGATGGGAGCATCATTCATTCGGTGTACATGAAAAAAACCTTGGCCTATGTCAAAGCAAACAGCATCTCTGCTGTAGCAGACACATCTGGAAAAAGGGCGGGAGGGTGGACATTTTCCATCATTGTCAAAAACTGTCCATCAACTAAAATGTATGATATTGGTCATCTACTCTCCACTGCTATTCAAGGTATTTTAGAAACCATCTTCTTTCCCTCACTTCTCTTCCTCAACCCTGAGTAAATTATCTTCCTTTGTAGTTAATAAATAAGACAAAGCAAAGGTTGGTTTCTTTTACGTTGAATCTCTCAGGATAAATCACAAGAAAATTCTGTGTAGAAAAGAAATATAGATCTTAGATTGCCATCCTTAGAAAAACCTGTGTAAAAGGATGGCTCTTGGGGAGGTTGGCTGGTAAATGGTTTCCTACACTGACATTAAAACTTTCCCTAAGTGATAAAGAGTAGCTCACTATGCCTAAACTGCTTGTATAAACAACATGGTTTATGCTAAATACCTGTTTTTCTTCTAGGAGTCTGGAATTTTGGCATAGAACAGGCAGAGGGTGCCTATTTAATCAGCCCCTTAATAAAAAACTTGGGCACTGAGTCTCTAGTGAGATCCCCTGGCAGACAACACTTCACACACATCATACCACATTGTTGCTAAAGGAATTAAGCACAACCGGTGGGAATTTAGTGGGAGAGGACTCTCAGACTCCTGCACTTGATTTCCTCTGGACTTCATCCTATTCATCTTTGCCCTTTCCTGATTTTGCTTTGTATTCATTTGCTGTAATAAATCTTACCCGAGTATGGCCCTGCAGGTACTTCTAGTGAATAACAGAGCAGAGCGATCCCGGGGAGCTCTGATACACAGGCAGGACCGCCAACTGAGAGATAGCAGATGTGGTAACCTGGCACACAATTCCGCTTCCCCTCATTTCCTATGTATTAGAGATACATGTATATTGGGCACAATCAACAATCAGTGTTGACTAAGCTAATATTTGCACCAAGGTCATATACACACATGGTTTAAAGAGTTCTGTAAGTTATTAAAATTTTTTAAAAAAGATTTAGCAGTCCTGCTTTCCCTCCCTTGAGACACTCCTGACATTGTTCATTTCCCATTCCCCACAGACAGACAGGAATTTCAATTCCTTAGGCTGATTTTTTGGGTATCCACCTCTGTATCTTAGGGAAAAGTTTATGTTATTATTTTCAGTGTTCAGCATTAAGTCTTCTGACTTTTTTCACCCACCATGAAAGATGAGATTTAACCAATTCATCCCTTATCACTTTCACATTTACTTTTCCTGCTCCTCCTTCACCATCTCTTGAATATAGTTATAGTAGACCAATATTGATTTGTTATCACATAATACCTTATTTTTTGCTAGATCATTATTTGGAGTTTACAATATGCTGTTCACAGATTAAGTCATGTAATAGATTAGGATTCCTTTTCTGTATAGCTTTTTGCTTTCTTTGGAGCTACTACTGTTTTCATGGCTGTTTTTAATCAGACAGTGTATTTCTCACCAATATATTCTCAAATTCTTCTCCAGTTCTTAAATCTCCTCTCAATATTTGCAATCATATTGAGCATTTTGTGAATTTCATCTTCCTAGAGAAACCTCTCTGGAAGCCTTCTGACCTGCTTCAAACTAGGTGGTTCCCTTAACCTCCTCTTGGACTGATCTCCCTTTTACCACATCTGAGGGTTCCCTTAACCTCCTCTTGGGCTGATCTCCCTTTTCTTAGATACCATGTCTCACTCTTTGCTTGGTTTACTATTCCAGCTTCCGTCCATTATCCCCATCCCTCTCCCGCTATCCAAATTCATATATTGAAATCCTAAACCAGAATGTGATGGTTTTAGGAGGTGGTACATTTGAGAAGTAATTAGGTCATGAGGGGCTTCATGAAAGGGATTAATGCCTCGATAAAAAGACATGAGAGAGTTTGCTTCTATTGTTTTCCACTATGTGAGGATACAAGAAGGTTGTGTGCAAGTAGTTAAGAAGGCTGTTACCAGATGCAACCATGCTGGCACTGGATCTCAGACTTCCCAGCCTCAAAACTGTGAGAAATAAATTTATGGTATTTTTATTAGAGCAGCCCAAACTGACTAGCATCCTCTTTTTACAGATGTTACAGATAACATTAAGGGTCTAAGAAATTTGCCTAAGGTGAAAGCTAGAAAGTAGTAAAGCTGGGACCTAATCAAGTTCTCATGATTTCAAAACCTATACTCTTTCACTACTTTACACTGCCTTCCCACAAAATACAAGGAAAGGAATTATTAGCCATCAAAACCAAAAGGAAAGAGATCTCTGAAGTGACAGTCACATAAAGAATCTTGATTCTTAAGTTATAGTTAATAACCTAAAAAAAAAGCTTAAAAAGATTTTAATCTTAATATGCCAACAAAACCTATAGGATATAAAATATTTGGAATTTTCCATTTTCCTCCATTTGAAACCAACTGCTATTTGGCTGAAAATATGGTTCAGAAAGTCCTATCTTAAAGAAATCACTTCTCTGCCACTATCAGCACAAAACACTATCAAGCCAGCGTATGTGATGCCAAACCTTGATGACAAACCACTCACAAAATTTATGCATTTGACTGCTTTTACAGAACATTACAAAGACTCAACTTTAGTTACGATTCTCCACTGCAAATTTGAATTAAAAATTTTTAGTACAGTGAAGTAAAGTTATGCAGTGACAAAGATCTCAGTGGACTGCTTCATAAAGTTCCTTAGCCTGACAACAGGGCAGAAAGACAAAAGATTCCTCAATTCACACTGAAGAGATGAGGATACCAGAGGTGAACTGTGTCAACAGAAGGACCCTGCTCTGATTTTAAAGGAACTTGAAGAAATATTATTAACTCTTTATTAATATTGGCTTGAAGAAATATTAATAAACCCTTTCTCTCTCTTCTTTGGACTTTCAGATTAGATGGTGGCTACAGGCTGCAAAGAGGGAAAGTAGTAGGAGATATGGCACATGACAGAGGGAGTATATCCTAGATGACCTTA